GCGGGGGGTGGGGGAGGGCTCATAGCTCAGCATGTCACAATACTTTACATTAATTTATATGGGAAAAATTGTTTTGCTTAACGAGTGTTTCGCGTTACGTGTAAGATTCTGGAACGAATTATGCTGTTAAGGGAGGTTCCACCTATTACTTTCAAGTGGCTGAATGCATAATTGGGTTTCAAGGGAGAACCGACAGTTTCAGTTAGGAGCTCTTTTAGAGGGAAAGAAAAATAAACTTATATCATCAAACTGAATTTATTTATTTTTTGTTATAATGTGAAGCACAGTACATATTAATTGCCTGTAACTGAAACTGAACAGAGAATCAAATTTGTAGTGTTCGTAAATTTGACATTTTTTTGGATAGCATTTTATTTTATTATCACCAGCCTGAATATGATTTTTATTACAAAATTTCAGATTTTCATTGGTAGGGAACATGCAGAGGATGGTCTTACAAGTTGTGACACTGTGTGGTCTTGTAAGTGGTTACCACGGTTTTGAAGAACATGCTTCCTCTATCTTCAGACTAGAAAAGGCAGTATGTTTCTCTGAAATAACTGGCATCCACCATCCACCTGCATGCAGTGGAGATAATATGGTTTTGATAAGTTTACTGGCATTTTGGAGGGATTTACTGCCACCATCTTCAGGGCTGAAGATTAAGCCAAGCATCAAGCAGACATCTGTACACTTTTTGAGAACTTCAGATCTCATGCAGTTCTAATTGTTGCTTCTGATCACAGATAAACATATCACTGTAACTTTATTTTCTGTTTTTCAGGTTGTGTGGAGGAAGCTGGAGGAGGGGCCAGCTCAGCGGCGGTGAAAGATAACCTATGTTGTCTTCGTCGTTAAAAGTTTAAATTGGACTCATAACCAGCTGTGCTTAAAGAATCCATTTGGATTGGATGAAGCTAGTTTACTTTTAGTTTAGTTTATTTTCTTGGGATGGGATGAGTCCACTAGGTACATTGGCCACTCTTTGGCCCATTGTACCAGCCCTGGATGATTTATTTTATTGCTGTTGGGATGGGACTAAGTCCCTTGTACTGTGGCCACTTCTGGCCTATTGTACCAGCCCCAGATGATAGGTGAGGGTGATTGTGGAGCAATTGGTTCAATGAAGATTGGCAGGGGAAACCGAAGTACTCTGAGAAACCCTGCCCCAGCGCCACTTTCTCCACCACAAATCCCACTTGACCAGACCCGAGATTGAACCTGGGCTGCCATGGTGGGAAGCCAGTGACTAACTGCTTGAGCTATGGCGTGGCCCTACAGACCCCTAACCCACCTACACACACACACACA